AATTTCAACTTTAATTTTCTTAGTCATTCCTTCTGTGAAATTAAATGAACTATCAGATCTGATCTCATTAGTTTTGCAAAAGGTATGTTTGTTGATATTTGAAACAATATTCATCTATAAAAAAAAAATTAGTAAACAAATAAATGAAAATTGTAGGCATGAATAATCTATGTATTTAAAAATATACTGTTAAATTCATTTGGGAATACAATAGTGAAGTCTAGAGTGTGGATGTGAATGTAGATGAAAAGAAGATCCACACCCACATCCCAAATAATAAATAAGTTTAAATGTGAACTTTTTTTATTGTAGTCCACAAAAAAAAATATCACTGAATGATATATTCTTGATAAACTTTTATGCAGTTTTTAAAAGCATTCAGAGATGATGTGCAATTTTCGAACATTAACTGTCTTAATTTTTCGCAAAAACTTAAAAAAAACAACTGAAGTATCTTGATTTATGTTATAGTAGAATGTATATATCTTCTGAAATTCTAAGGGACAGAAAAACAGAATCTTAAAATGAATAATGTAAACAGATAAACAAGAATAAGAATGCCAGAAAATCGATATATATAATACTCAGTGTCTGTTTCTCTGTGCCAGGTCAAAGGTCAGGGGTTAAAGGATAAAGATCGAATAAGGCTATAAACGGGTAAGGCTATAAGGGAATAATGCAATGAGGGACCAAGGCTATAAGGGAGTAAGACAATAAGGAGATAAGGCTATAAGATAGGAACGCTATAAGGGGGTAAGGCAATAAGCGGATAAGGCTATAGAGGAGTAGAGTGATAAAGGAGAAAGGCAATAAAGGGGTAAGACTATAAGGGCGAAACTCTATAAGCAGGTAAGCTTACAAAGAGAAATGCTATAATCGGATAAGGCTAATATAGCTACAAGATATATAAGACTATAAGACCGTAAGGCTACATGAGTTATTGGTGGTATAAGGATCTCACGGCATAGAGTTTCTATGTACATAATGTGGAGTGTCTGCGTGTCCATTACCGAGGAAAAGGTTAAAGCTTTTAGGTCGTACATCAAAGAAAAAAAAGCTGTCGTGCAGTGTGCACGGGCTCTCGCTAGTATATTATAATGTTGTTTTTTGTCATTGTCGCATTGAATAATAAACATTATATTGTTCAGTGATGATTCAGAAAATTAATCATGTCGATATGAAGCATATCTGAGAAGTATCGATATGATTCCAACGATAAACTTTTCAGCTATATTGAATTAACATGCCATTGAAAAAGTTATCTTTACTGAGATTACTTACAGTGAAATCAGAGTTTTTTGAAAATGGCAACACATATATAGTGACGATGTTAGT